TCTCAGATGCTGACTGGAGAGGTAAACTTGTGGGCATCACAAAGAAAACAAGGGCTGGTGCATACATGAAGCTTGATGATGATGACTCTGTTATCATCTGTTTAAAGAAGCTTGGTGAATGTATCATCTCAACTGAGCTGGGCAAGAGTGACTTGCCTTCTCAGGTCAAGCAATTGGAGAGATTTGCCTGCCAAGTCTACTCTTCATCTGTTCCATTAAACCTACCAGCATATTACAGGAACAATGTACACCGTGATGCGCGACAAGTCTTACCTAACCATATCCCTACATCTTCGTGCCAGTTAACGAAAGCGGCTGGCAGCTTGACAAGAGCATTTATGTCCCTGTGCCGAATCTTGATCTGCCTGCCCATCATGCTGTAATTGAACTCACAAAATGTGGTTGTAAAACAGGATGCACAGGGTGATGCAGTTGCCGCAAAAATGATCTGTGTTATACATCTTTCTGCATGTGTTTTGATAGGGACCCGTGTGCAGGAGGACGAGGATGATGAATAACTGATGTATTTATTTCCAAGAAAGGATCTTTTTGTTTCGTTTCTGGCAACTTCTGGCTTGTTAAGATTCTTTTGTGTTTGATATTAAACTTGTTTACTTGTTATAAATGTCAAAGTGTCTTGAATCTCATGACAGAACATTCCAGTCACCCACAAGTGACCATATTAATCATTTTACCATGCTTCAAAAGCCACAAAAAGTGGTAGGCTGAGCAACCGGAAATTGGTATTCCCCAAAGTCCTGTATAGGGAATAATCTTTAAGTGGCATTTAGCGATTGGGAAACACATTATAGGGAAAGTTACGACAACTCATTTACAGGCACCATTTTGGGTCCCAACTATGACGTCATGGCGTCATATGTTTTATTTTTTTCTTGGTATAACTTTTTATGGGCTACAATTTATCCTAAAAAAATTGCAAAAGAAACCAATGCAGTTTAGTTCAATGATAAATATGTCAGACAAAATCATACTCAAAATCGGCCATGGTAAAATGACATGATTAACAGAATTCAATTTGGCGTTCTTCAGGAATTATCGGAGAGCGATATCTCGTAATCAGTTTCTTTCAGTGGTAGTAGGATAAATAATTTATTTTTAAATGTCTCAAACACGGAGTGGTTATTCAAGCGAAATGTGTCGAAAAATCGAATTTGACAAACATCAATTAAAAAATGTATTTGTGACCGTGTATATCGAAGTGAATCGGAATACGCAAAATCAAATTTTGGACTATAAACAAAATTGAGAATTTCACAAAAATGAGTCTATAAATATACTATCTATCGACACAAAAGATCAAAATAGCAATAAAAGATTATAGAACACCTTTATTTGAACGTTTTGTAAGAGTACCGTATTCTTAAATCTGTCCTATTTCTTAAAATTCTAGGCGAAATTAGTTATTTTTCTTCGCTCGCTGCGGGACGACCAGTCATTCCTCTTGCATAATAATTGACATCGTTGTAAAGAGGAGAATCTCTAGTTTACAAATATGATCAAATTAATGTCGATGAATTGATTTTGAATGGATACAATCGAGTTTTAAAACACCTAAAAAATATAAACCACCGCCGCTTGTTGCTATGCTGTCTACACAACTCGTTTGCTGATTGGCCCAGACGAGTGAAAAGCATTATGGTTACGTGGCTAACTCGAGCGGGCGATAAATATTTGGTTTTGGCTATAATGTATTTGGCTACCTACATGCGATTCACTCTGATAAGTGACAAAAAAAAATTAATTCTGATCGTATATAGATTGCCGTTGAGTGTTAATCTAAACCACGTGGCTGATTATGTAAATTAATCGACATGCGAGTGGGTGTCATTGAGTAATACTAATCAACTGTCACGGGTCAATGATAAAGCCGTCGACAACTCCTTATTTACTCCGAATAATTAATCCAAGCGGTAATTATTTGATATCTCATATCATCTTTAAAAAAATAATAATAGGCTTTAAATGGAAATAAACAAAATGGCCAATAATTTTCTTTTCGAAGAGAATTTTATTGATAGATGAATTCCCTTTACTGTCGCTTCTTCATACGGCATGCAAAGTAAGAAATGCATCTTTGATATTATTGTTTAAAATTCTCTTATCACTATGGGTCGAAAAAATGAGAACGACCAATGCGCCGAATTGCTACGATTCTCGAGTCTGCCATTGTTTAATTACATCAAAGCCAGAATGCATGAAAGTGAACGTAAGTATTTCTTGACTATGAAATTGGCATTTCTATAGGGACTCATATTTTCATACCGTTACGGTACCTGAAAATAATAATAGACCTATCATACACGCAAAATCTTATTTTAATTCACGTGTTAAATGAACACGCGTACAGCTGTGGCGGCTTCTTTGATGATTATCCAATCAACAATCTTAATCTCCTGACCACTAACTGGCACTAGGGTGCTAATTGATTGATGAGATTAACTGTTAATCTCACCAAAGTTATAATATACAAAACAGACTAATGTATTGATTATTCTTCAGTATAACACTATCATGTGAACATGCCGCATGTGTTATGAATGTTTCGTCAAATAAGGAGTGCATTTAATACGATTTTCGTCGTCAGCACCCTTGAATTCCTAAATAACAAAAATATTAAACGACAAAATAGCAAATAAATGAGGAAATCGTCGGATCAAATTTTTACTACGATTTTCGTTTTCAGCACCCCTGAAAACCCATGGAAAGATATATGCAACGACAAAACAGCAAATAAATGGCCTGGTTGCTATGACATTTTGTTTTGGAACATACCAGATCTTTGACTTGCTTTTTCTCAAAACTTACTTTTGTGAGTTGGGTAGCTTCGAATGGACAGAGCTCAGTCAATTTTTGCTCATTTCAAACAAACTATACAACAAATTGAAGGTAATGAGTTGGAGAATGTGAAAGTAATAATAACTCAATTTTTAAAATTTCCTCACTGCGACTCAGTATGCCGGGGGGAGGGGGGAGGGGTCACATTTTTCATTTGGTGGTGGGCATTTCTTTCAAAATGACTGTCAAATTTTAAAAAAAATAAAAAAAATAAACCACATTAATTTGGTAATAAAAAGGCAGCGATAATCTCAAAAATTTAATTTCGAGAATTCTTGATGGTTGAAATTCAAAATGGCCGGCAAAATGAAATCCAAAATGGTGGAATTTTCATTAATCTTCATTTCTTTCCATTGGGTATGACTTGTAATATGTGGTATATTCTAGGTACATGGAAATGTTGGCAATAAAGATCCAATCATAGTTTTTAATCATACACTGTTAACCACCCATAGATGTTATAAATCACATACTTTATTCAGCATGACGCAAGATTTAAAATAAATAGATGCGGTTCTTTTAACTTGAATGTAGATATATCTATGTTGCATATATAGGACCTTTCCGTTGAATCATATCATAAAAATATCTTATTTCATAGTTTTACGTATTTGTCGACATTAAGGTGTACATGTTCTATTGGTCCATTTAGCTTATGCATTTTCTTGTCTCACTTGACTAACATTTTGTAAGAATGTAGGCTTTTATAGATTGAACAAAAAGCTGATAAATGTTGAGATGTGTGGAACATACTTGAGGCGATTTGTAACAAATCTCAGGCACGATATATATTTGATACTAGTTGAGCATCAGAACAAAATGATTATTTCATTGGAAATGGAGCGCAAATACCCAAAGGAGTAGGACAAACTCTAAAGCAACTGCGTCTGCTTCACTGGGCCCCTTCAATGTCTGTCTACCTGTGGAATAACATGTACATTATTTGTATCTGTTAAATTTGTGCGGTTTATATATTAGATTAATATTATTATTTACTCATGGGTGGGGAGTGATAACGTCTTACCCTAAATAAATTGCAAAAGACACCTCGAAGTTTCGGAGAGTGATATCTCATATCACATGTCACTGATGAAACATATGACCAAAACACATGTCACGCTAGACACCTTTTATTTAAATTGCACAGATTTTACACTGGTTTTAAGTTACACTGATTTTAAATGTTTTATCCATTAGTCAATTTAAAGAAATTTCTATTTTCGAAAAATTGATGATACAATTAATGATCGATGACCGAATCCGAAATGGCTCCAGACCAAAAAATCATAAAGAGAGAGAGAGGAAAATTTGAACCCCGACATTTTTGGACAGCTTCGTCCAACATCACCCCATAACAACAAAAAAATCAATTTTAGCATACAAATCCTACAGGATGACATGTCATACCACACTATTCAGAAGAATTGTTTGTGAATGTTTTTTTTATATCAAACTGTTATTTGTTGAAGGTTAAAGGGTCAATATTACAAATTTAGATAAAGAGAAAATCAATTTTGTTGAATAACTTGCTGTCTAGACCTGTATCTTTTTATCTCTTTTCAAGATTCTGGTACATTTGATCAGATCATTATCTTTGTTTAATGTAACATATATATTCAGCATTTGACTTGAGAATGTGTTTGTGTCTGAAATCTAAAAATGTAATTCAGATTTTTGTACAGTGTAGAGAGAATGACCTACGATTTATAGGCCTAACATAGCCATTAGATAAGATAAATTTTTGCAATGTTGTTGCAACAGATGAGATATGTTTTGGGGATGTTAATTTTTACTTGAATACAAAGGACAACAAATGTTTTGGTTATACTTTAAAATCTGTCCACAACTAAGATTAGACATACTGTTACTGCATGTGCATGTCAACATCTGTGTTCAAGATCATGTAAGGTATAGTGTTACATAAGAATTGGTGGGCAGATTCTTTGTTAGCTGATGATATGAACTCTTTGAATGAGATGTGATACTGTGTGTTCCAGAAAGAATAAGCATGCACTTCCATTTGCATGACAACTACTGTTACCTTTTACTATATCATTGGAGCTATGGTTTGTACATTAATTTCAGGAGCTATTCCTATGTTTTATGAATTAATTTTTATAGTATATTTGTATTTATAATTTCAGTTTAATATATTCAATATGGCCAGTGTAAAATGTATATTAGTAACTGGGGGTGCGGGTTATATAGGTAGCCATACAGTTATAGAACTATTAGATGCTGGATATGATGTTGTAGTACTGGATAATCTAGTCAATGCTAGTATGGGTAAGTAGAATATTTACATTACTGAAATGAAATGGGGTTCGTCAGGGCTAATGAAGACGGGCATACACTATGCAGTGTGCTATGAGGGAAATTTAGCCTGGAAAGCAGGGCTACAGCCTTTTTATTTCGTATTCCATCCGTCAAGGATTCTTGTTTTTTGTATATGAAGGACTAGACCAGGGCTTCCACTTCAAAATTTTTGATAACACACAAAAACTTTGCAAAAACAATTCATATTTCATGTTTTTTTATTCATGGTATTGTGAATTCCTGTGTCTATACCACTATGTCAGCATGGTGTACAATTACATATTGGACTTAAAAATGAAATATCAGTAAAGCTTATGATAATTGAAATAGCTGAATTGGCCATAGAAAAATCATTTCAGTAGCTCACACGTATAACCACGTGCTCTATAGAAAACACACTGACCTGGATAATTTTGAGTTGTAATAGAATAACTTTGAAATGAAGATAAATATATAATTATCCATGGCATATTTCTCACATTTATCGGTTTCAGCCCATCTCTTACGGCATAACTAAATAACTAACGAATAACTACGCTCGTAACTTCCCAGCTTGCGACACTAGCACTCCGTACAATATAGAATGATTAGAGTAACCATTTATATACACCATTTTTGCAACACATTTAATTATTAATATTGCTACAAAATAGCACTGGAATACGTAATTTTCTTAATTTTTCGGTAAGCAAGTTAACTAATATCTAGATTTTATTTCTACACTAGGCGCTGTTCCTTGCTAGGCCCTCTGTCCTGCACCACACAAATACAGCTTAATGGGATTGTTTTGCTAGACTTAAGAAAGGCCAAATCTGAATTCAGATTTGTAAATCAATTCTATGTTGTGTTAATGCCCTTGACCCTTAAAACTGCATTTACAAAAGCTGGTCATGGACATATATATTTGATTCCTGGCAATGCTCTTGTGATGTTATATGAATTCTGCCTATTATGTTACTGAATAAAATTGAATTGAATAGCTTGTAATCTGCTATTTATTACCAGATAAATTGTTTTATATTTCAGAAAGTATTAAAAGAGTAGAAGAAATTAGTGGGAAAAAGATTCAGACATACAATGTAGATTTACTGGATGCTAAAGCTTTAGAAGATGTTTTTAATAAGGTAATTTTTATAGGGAATTCAAAAACAATGTCCTATGTTCAATTGATCCCTATTCTAAGAAAATGCCTGTCTGGATATAATGAGCAAATCATTTTTCAGTGGTGTTTTACAGAGTAGTCCACCAAATGGGCACATAACCAGACCCAACTTTGCTAGAGTAAAATTTTGCGTAGAATACGATGCCGATAATTTGGAAATTTTGACGGTCGCAGACACGATTTCCTGGCGCGATCGTGATAGTGGGAACCTATCATTAAGACGGTAGTATTAACATCTTCTATATCTATGTAACACCTCGCTGGTTTGCGCAAGTAAAATGAATATTCAGACCGGTTATGACCCTATGTTTAAAAATAAAATAGATATTTGAGTAACGTCCTAATTGAATAAGTATGCCAATAATAATATATAATATAAAGAAGATGATGATTCCCTGAGCTCGATGAATGTTTGAAAATTTATCTGCAGCAAACTCGTTTTCTTGCTAGACCATTCCATGAATACAGATACTTTAATGTGGTCCAATATAGCCTACCTTAGCTGACTTACCTAAATCCCAAATCCCAAACAACCAATCAGTCGTTGCGGGGTATGGGGGCCTTGTGCTCCTCGAGAAAATTTTGAAAATTTAACCACCGCAAATGCGTTTTTCTGCTTTTCTATCCCGTGAATTAAGCAACTTCAAAGATTCCAATCGCTTTTCAACCAAAATCCCACGCTATGCCGACCCGAATTCGAACCATCCAATCAGACTGTTGCAGATGCATTCACAAAACATAATAAATGCCCAAAAAATGTCGCACAAAGTAGAGTGACTCCAGACAATCTATAGTCAATTCAGTATTCAAGCTACGGTCCAATACGTGCCAATATCGAAAGGAACCCAGGCCTTCAGGATATATCAAAATTTGATGAAACTTCAAACCTCTGGCCCACAACGTGGGTACTACATGCTTTTAACCCATAAGTGCAAGGCTACGGCCTACGCCGTAGAGTAAACAAAGGCTGAAATTGCATGGCTATCATTTTTAAAACTTTGAATTTACCGCGCTAAAGGTGGTTCCACGGGAAATCCCCTTGTGACGCCATTGTCTAAATCCAGCATGGCCGTCCTGGCAATGTTTTGAGTAAAATTTCTGCAACTTTTCACGAATTTTCGCCGATTTAAGACATAATTTGTACAGGATCCCATTCATAGTTGCCAAGGAATACTGTGTGAGTTGGATTACGCTACAGAGTGTGTATTTTTGTGGGGGGTTTTTACGCAATATAGCATTTTTTTGTCCAGTTTTTTGCTTCACATAGAAATCGTAGATATTTGTGCTGCAGTTCAGTGTGTTTGATCATAATCTATGGTTTGATGAGTGTACAAAATGTAGTAGTGACTCGGATGATGATGTCACCTGTCTAACCTCGTGGGTTTTCTTTGGGTTCTCTGGTTTCCTACTGTTGTAAAGTTATTGGATATTTTCAAAAAAAAAATTTGGTATTGTGTACCAAAGAAATGCCTCTGAAAGCAGCATAATTCATTTCTAACATTCTGCATCAATAAATATTTTTTATTGCACTCAGAAGTGGGAACTTTTTATTTTTTTATTTTCCTGATTTCAAGTTGTCAATTCTACCTCCACCTACATTCATGTAAAAAATATTTCCCTTATTTTCTTTACAGATTCAGAAAGCCCTTTCTATACTCTTTCTAAATATATACTCTTTTCCTCATTTTTGTATTTGGCACCAATTTCCGTCGCAATGCTTTGAATTAGGCGTATGCACGAAAGGAGTTAGGGAACAAAAAATGGGTATGCACTTATGGGTTAAGGGTAGCGGCCATTTTGTCAGGCAGTTTCGGTCCAATTCCATTAGCCAAAAAGGGTCTCTAGATATAAGTAGCCCTAGGATAGTAGCCCCACCCCAATTGAGACTTGCTTCCGCTGGCCCTGTTGGAAATTGGCATATTTATTCCTTATACCGTAAGAATAGCAAGTATTTATTTTGGTGCATGTCCCGACCCCCAGGGGTGGTGTCACACCCACTTTATTTTAAAAAATACCATATGAATCAAAGCAGGAATGTGGACGTATATTGCAGTGAAACCGATGCTCTTGTTCTTTTTCTTCTGAATTTTATAGCACAAATTTGATGGAGTGATTCATTTTGCTGGTTTAAAAGCTGTAGGTGAATCATGTGAACTGCCATTGTTATATTATAAAACCAATGTTGGTGGAACTATGAATTTATTAGAGGTAAACTCTTTTTACATATTCTGTCTTCCCACTCTTTATTACGGTATAAGAAATATCAACACATGTCTATCTTGATTTTATGTGCATCAAATTATGATACTATGACCAATGAAACGGCATGTAAGAGTCATAACCTTAACTAAATGTGTCACCCTACCTCCATCACCCCTCTGACTGTTTTTAATTTTTAAAAAAAATCTCACATTTAACACCCCAACCAATTAAAATCACCAGGAATAAATTTGTAGTAGGACAGGGTTCGGATACTGGATGCAGCGGCAGCTAATGTCGTGAAACAAACAATAAACAAGATATAATTTGATACTTTTTATTATAAATTAAACAGCAATGGATTCTGGAAATGTGACGTGTGCCCTTAATTTCTCGACTAACTGATCTGCCCGAAATACTAAATAGAAATCATGAAATTTATACGCCAAAGTCTATTTCTCAAACTACGGAATAAATTAACCCACTGTGGTGAATCGATTCATCGATCCTGTACAGTACCTTAACCTACAATTACAAACTAAATCACCGTATTCTTCCTCACGAATCAAGTGAAAAGGCGGCAATGCCTATATCTCCAGTGTCTGACAGTAGAACGCCATGTCTAAACTGCTAGAACACCATTAAAAACGAAATCACCGAATTCTTCCTCACGAATCAAGTGAAAAGGCCGCAATGCCTATATCTCCAACGTCTGACAGTAGAACGCCATGTCTAAACTGCTAGAACACCATTAAAAACGAAATCACCGAATTCTTCCTCACGAATCAAGTGAAAAGGCCGCAATGCCTATATCTCCAATGTCTGACAGTAGAACGCCATGTCTAAACTGCTAGAACACCATTAAAAACGAAATCACCGAATTCTTCCTCACGAATCAAGTGACCAAATTACGATATGGTTAAGTATGAGTATCGATTTAGCGCTCCCCACAGCGAAGCGACAAGTAGATATAAATTATACTATTTTTCCCCGAATCAGAACTATACTATTCAAAAAAAGTAGGGGATATTTGATTTTTAAGTGTTATTAAAGTCACCTAATGAAACTGACGAAGAAACAAATGACAAAATGAAATGAAGTTCACATTCATCGATTTATTCCAAATGATCGTTAGACTAAGTAAGGCACAGACTGACCATTATAAGGGTAAAATGATACCCGGGGTCAAACAACAAAGTTACCACAGCATCACAACCAAGTCAGTAACGGGTAAATCCTCCTCTGTTTGCCAAACAAGCATTGATCCGACGTGGCATACTCCTAATGAGACGTCTAAGGTCATTTTGGTCCAGATTGTCCCATTCCTGTTGCAACGCAGCAGCATGTTCTTGGACATTGGCAGGACGTTGTTGACGTTGACGTAACCTCTGTCCAAGCATGTCCCAGACATGCTCGATGGGGGAGAGGTCTGGACTCAGTGCTGGCCACGGTAATGTGGTGATGTTCTGTTGTTGGAGGTAACCTGTAACGATCCTGGCCCTGTGACATCTTGCGTTGTCATCCTGGAAGATGAAACGGCGGCCATGACGTCGTGCGAACGGCACAACATGGACTGCCAAGATGTTGTCCCGGTAGTACTGGCCTGTAACACGCCCTGCAACAACATGTAAAGCCGTTCTTCCAGCAACAGTGATGCCTCCCCACACCATAACAGAACCACCCCCAAATCGATCATGTCTGATGACGTTAACGTCTTGGAAGCGCTCGTTTCGACGACGCCACATCCTCCTACGTCTGTCCAAAAAATCAACAGTGAACCTTGACTCATCGGAAAACATCACATTGCTCCAGCGTCGATTATCCCAGTGTTGACGATCCCTACACCAACGACGTCTTGCCTGAATGTGATGATCTCTCAAACAAGGGATCACGCGAGGACGTCGGGCGCGAAGGTGACCCCTATGCAGTCGATTCCGAATCGTCTGGCCACTCACTCTCACACCAGTGTCTGTTTGAAGACGAGCACTGATCTGATTTGCTGTGATGACACGATTTCTCAAGGCCAAGGTACGGATAAATCGATCCTGGGCTTGAGTTGTCGCCCTTGGTCGACCTGAGCGTGGTCTGTCCTGTACAGATTGTGTATCACGGTATCTGGTACATAGCCTGCTTATGACAGACTGAGAAACATTCATCGTCCGCGCCACAACCGCCTGTGTTGTGCCGATCTGTAGCATGCCAAGGGCACGTAACCTTTCATTTTGGGTAAGCCGACGAATATCAAAATTTGTTTTCTGGTCACTAAAACAATTAAACTGATGTTTCCACCCTGGAATTCAATGCCACAATGACTGTAACATTCAAAGTCAGAGTCGTGCAAATCTTGGGTTGGACCCCCATGAAGATCCCAAGCATCACCTGCATTCCATGCGGTAGCTATTGGTGCGTTTGGGCGTCACATGTAACTGGAAATGTTTCTTCTGTTAGGTTCTATAGTGACTTTTTTCGTAGTCATTTGCATATTTTAGTATTATGCCCCCAAAATCAAATATCCCCTACTTTTTTTGAATAGTATATTATCTAAGAGTAAGAAATGCGCTAAAACAATCAAACCGAAATATGAAACGGATGAAAATCAACACAACCTGGTTGATATGAGGCGATTATCGACTCTGACAACCAACCTGTGTCTTAATTATGATAAGTTTACCTTACCTAGGGACTTGCTAACTGAAACTCCCCCGATGAATGATACGCACCCAGTTTTATAGTCGAAGCATGCACGTGCATGACAGTTGATTGGCTCAAATACGCCAAGCAAGTAGAGAAGTTGATGAGTTTGGGCGAGTCGTTTGAAATACATTTAGCAAAAAGGGCGACACTACCACAAATTAAATTACTTCACAGCAATACCCTATTTTATAATTAAGATAATATTTCGGCTAGTCTAGTTTACTAAAAGGTGTGTAACTTTGTCACTTGACATGAAAGAATATGGTATACCTAAAAGTATTACTTTATTGTCTAGGGGATACAACTCCTATCTGCAAGACGAACTTAACCAGTAAATTAACATTAGACTTAACTTTTGTATTCCTGTTCAGTCTTGAAAAATAACGAAGATTAAAAGGCCCTAAAATTCGTAAAGTAAATGTTACAGAATATGACCTTATTACATGTATATGTAAAAACTTGAAATTTTTTTTTATCTATATTTTCATAAGTCATGGAATTGTAAACTTGTTAAAGATACATTATGAGAGATTCGATAACGAGTTGGCAGTTCTCATTATAATAGTTAAAAACTAGATAATGTATAGGCAATTTGCTGAAAATTTCATTCAAATTGATCCACCATGAACTGAGAACTAAGCGGTTGAAATTTCCGTCTAGCCTTGATCATCATTACTAAAGTCAGTATGATAAACAGCATAGTCTCGATTATCCATTCAATCGTTAAATCCTGAAGGAAAGTTATGCAGTAAATCGGCTCATAATTCACTAAAGATCACAGGCTAGCATAACCATCTAGAGTTGATTATGGTCTGGATAGGTTAATTAATGTCTAATTAAAAATTTAGATAACATTTCAGGCCAAAAGAAAGACCTGCAATAGACAGATTTAGCTCTTGCATAATGTATGTTTAAATTGGCAAGGCTTTTTTTCTGTTTTTTTTTATTAAGATAATGGAGAAGAAAAACGTAAAGAACATAGTATTTTCTAGTTCTGCTACAGTATATGGTACACCAAATTATTTACCTCTTGATGAGAAACATCCTGTTGGAGGCTGTACAAATCCTTATGGTAAAACTAAATACTTTATAGAGGAAATATTACGAGATGTTTGTAAAGCTAACAAGGTAATGTTTAGATTAAATAAGAGTAGATAGAAATGCATATATAGCCTATCTTAAATACTGTATGTTAGTCTCCAATTGACTGAAATATTTTGAGATCCAAGAACAAAAAAAAAAAGAAAAAAAATTGAAATGAAAGGAAATTTGTCAATCTTTTCTTTACTAAATTTTGATTATTGTTTACTGTTTCTACCATGTGGATTGTAATAATTAATTATGCTCTTATTATTAGACAATCTTTAGAACTATTCTTCTACTAGTCAAATTTTGATACCATAAAATGGTTATTGCAATTTAAAGCTTGTATTGGTTTCTGTTTCTTTACCGTGTAGGGAACCGGTTTCCCCCCCACCCCCACCCCCCTAACAAGAAAATTTGGAAAATTGGAAGACCGCAAATACATTTTCTAGGCTATTCCAGCCAGTGAATACTGCAGCAGCTTCAAAGTGATCTAATATAGCCTAACTTAGGTGGCTGACTCAAATTCAAATCAACCCATCAACATTTTACAGTCCATGAAGACGGGTTTGTCTGGAAGAAATTTTAAAAATTTAACTGCTATTCCAGGCCTTGAATACAGCAACTTCAATGTGGTCCAATATAGCCTACCTTAGGTGGCTGACCTGAATCCCAAACAACCAATCTTGGTTGGGTATAGCAGTAACTTCAAAGTTTCCAATCGTTTTGCAACCGAAATCCCACTGTATGCCGATTTGAATTACAACCATCCAATCAAACTCTTCCAGCTGCATTCACGAATAATAATCGAGGCCCTAAAAATGTTGCACTAAGTAGAGTGGTCCCAGACAAAATGTTTTAATCCATAGTAAATTCAGTACAAATTTTCCTTATTCAATTTTAATTAATAAAACACTAATTTTCTTTTTCTTTTAAAAAAGAAAAAGAAAATTAGTGTTTTATTAGATTTGGGCACTTTATTTTGCCAACTAGATGAAATAATAATTTTCACTTTGGGTCGTACGCCTATGCCACTCGACACAAACTAGCTCATTTTGGGACTAATAAATGAAATTGGGTTTAACATCCTACTCTTACGCCATGCAGTGTGCTATGGGTGAAATTTAACCTGGACAGCGGAACTACGGCCACTCTTTATTTTGAATTCCAACGGTCCAGGTTTTCATACAATCCGAATGACTAGACACTATTCCTGGCAAGGGGAAACCATACTGCAAAATCCAAGTGAATTTTCTCGGGCTATAGCATGATAGAACCCTGGATCTCCTGGTTCAATGACAAGATGAGACATGTCAACAGATGTGTTTTCTTTATGGATTATGGATTTATTTGTTATTTTCTACATCAACAGGTGATTAAATTACTAATACATATTGGTTTATGACGGTTCTAATCTCTATGTGTGGTACGACCCAACTGCATTTATTAATACAATAACCCGCAATGAAGCAATGGCAGTACTTTCAACATTTCATTATATATAGCAAAGTTACTCACCCAGAGTCTTGTCCAACTAATGGAGGTTGCTCTTCGCCAATTCCAGTTAACATTTTGTGGGATGATAACAGTCAAAAATCAACATAAGCTTGGTGTTTGACTGATCATAATTATTCCCAGACAATTACTTTACAGACCTTACCATACTATATTTACGGACATTTTCAATTGACAATTTTTGCGATAACATTCAACATGGCCTGATGTCTGATTTGCCACAATTATCCTTGTACATATTAAAATCTACCCAAATTTGTATGGTCATGTTTTACTCAAATAAGCTACCTGAGTGATGATAATAGGTGCCAAAATTCCAAGTTTAATCTTTATTAATCAAATATTGTCTTTATATTTACTCAAAATAGCACACAGTTTATAATTGAAGTGATAGGGACAATATGGTCTAAAACTTAGAATATCTGATGTCTTTATTATCTACTCCATGTATAAATGATATTTTTTTTTTAAGAATGGAATATTGAGATATTTTAATCCAGTTTGTTCTCATATATCTGGCAAAATTGTATAAATGATATCTTTTTTTTTAGGAATGGAATATTGTTTTATTGAGATATTTTAATCCGGTTGGTTCTCATATATCTGGTAAAATTGGAGAAGATCCACAGGGTCTTCCAAATAATCTCATGCCATTTGTAGCCCAAGTTGCTGTTGGTAAGAGAAAAGAATTGAAAGTATTTGGTAGTGATTATGATACACCTGATGGTACAGGTTAGTGTGTTTATAATTTAATGTCTTAAAAATAACTAATAAGCTAAAAAATAAAAGAACTGATTTAATAACATATGATGTGCTTTGTTAAAGGGGAATTATGGCAGATTAGTTAAAGAGTTGACAGTTAAAGAGTTGACAGTTAAAGAAATAGATAACGTAAATAGAATATGCTGAAAATTTCAGTCAAATTGCTTCACTCTGAACCAAGATATTAGCCTTTGAATTTTAGGCTAGCCTCGATCATCATTACTAAAGTCGGTACGATAAAAAAAAAAAAAGTCTCGATTAACCATTTTTATGTTTAATTATTTTTCAAAAATTGTATTCCAATTCTCTAAATATCGCACCCTGGTTATGGCATTGAGAGTTGATTATGGTCTGGATAAGTTAATTAATGTCTAATTAATAAATAAATAAAAAACAATAGAAACGTTTGATTTTTCTACTTTGTATACTATGCTTCAACATTCAGACCTTAAAAATAATTTGGATTGGTTTGTGGATAAAGCTTTTAATTGAGCTTTTGAGAAAAGGCAGAAATTTGATGACCATTTACTCAGAAGATGCTAAATGGATTATAAAATGTTGCAATGCCGACACTGTAGTTTTTGATAAAGAAAATTTTCAAAACATTATACATTTTCTCATTGACAATGCCATATTTGAGGTTGGGGATCAGATAATACAGCAAACTGTTGTTTTACCAATGGGAACTGACCCTGCCCCATTTATGGCAAACACACATTTATTTTAATATGAATTCTGCTTTCAGGATCATAAACGAAAAACTGATTACAAAGTAGCTAAAAGTCTAAACTATACCTTCCGATACATTGATGACATAACACCTATCAATGATAATGGAACTTTCAACAAATATAAAAGTGAAATATATCCCTCAGAACTAATATTAAAACAAATATTGACAAAACGGACAAATATGGCTTTGAAGTAGTAAAATACCCGTCAATTTATAGTAACATACCAGATGTCACACTAAATAGTGTTTTCTATTCACAGGCATTACAATTTTTGACAATATTTAACGATAAAGAACTGGTTTTTTTTCCAGAATAAAATCTCTTTATTTTAAGTGCACTAGCTGTCAAAGGCAGTACACAATTACGTGTTTTAAAAGAAATTTCGAAACTTCCATTTCTTCAACATACTAAGTTTGACATTTCTTTTAAGTATATACCTGACTACGTATTGGATAATGATCTAATTTAATATTTATTTTAAATTTTCTGTTGTTTCCTAATCTCATCTGGATTATTGCCCTTATTTTATGCCTTTATATAAATACACGTTCATAGTACTATTTCTTCAGCATATCTGTTTTGCATTTCTTGTAGGGGTATTACATATTATATTTTGTGCAATTACATAACTGAATAATTCCGATTAGTTCCTAAATTGATAGTTTATTAACTTTTTGGCGTTTTCTTATATGGATTATCGCCCTTTTTATTGTGGTTTTTATTACATTTTCAAACTTTGACGTCATTGGCAACCTACCGCCTTTTACTTGTATCTATAGGTAATTTTTACTTCAATATGCTTACATTCATATTTCTTGTAACATATAGCAGAAGCTGGCATTACACAATGTTTTCTCTGTGTTGTATTCCTGATTGTTTTCAAATTTGAGTGAAGTCTGTATCACTACAGGCTCGGGACTGTACAGCGCACTGGATGCTTACGGCTAGCCTCCAGATCCATTCACTTTATTTGACATGTTTGTTTGTTTGTGATTTCTGCGTATTGTGTCTTTTCGGTATATTTGGTTTTGTTTAAATTATGTTTCGTGCAGTCCGCCTCCATTTACTATTAGATAACATTTCAGGCCTAAAGAAAGACCTGCAATAGGCAGATTTAGCTCTTGCATAATGTATGTTTAAGTGGATATATATGTCCACATTTAAAATTTTAGGTTCACAACTCACAGCTGTTTAACAAAAAAGAACCTTAAGTAAATTAACAAACTGACTTTAACCTTATCAACTACAAATACCCCGAACACCTCCTGAATTGGGGCCATATGCGCCGAACTAATCACAAATCCATTGTGACTAATTCAACTATGAATTATGAATAAAGCGATTGCATTCCCAAATAGGTCGAAAGAGTCACAAATTGTCCTGAATTGTTTACGAAGAGCTACATTTCTTCTCATATATACATAAAAAGTGGTGCGGCAATCTGTTCCCGGCAGGGGGTCACGATGGCTAAGTGGGTAAGACTGTGGCTCGCTAGCCCGAAGGTCGGGTGTTCGATCCCTGCCTTGGCCAAGAAAGTTCATCCAGATTTTCCGGTGTGGTTCCCCCTTGTCAGTGATGCAGAACGGAGGACCTGACAAAGACAGCTGTCTAGTCGTTCAGATGGGACGAAATGCCAAGGGTCCTGTACACACATTGGCATGCATGTAAAAGATCCCATGACAGTTGGAATTAGATATAAGAGTAGGCCGTAGTGCCTCATAGCACACTGTATGGATTATGCCCATCTTCATTAGCCCAGTTCGGAGCAGAACAGTGGGAAGTTAAACCCCATTTCATATCATTTCTGTTCCCGGTAAAACAGTTTCCGGAGCCCAAGTGACACCATCTACCACGACTATGAGGAATTACCAATATATCCTTGATGCCACGCAGACCCTTGGGGTATGTTAAGGGCAAGGGCCTCAGGAAAGGCAAGTGGCCACAGGAACAGAACAGCCCATGGGATAACATTCCTGCAGCGAATGAGCGCTCCCACAATGTGCCCCTACTCGGAAGGAGCGCCCACATGAGGATGACCAGGTGATGGAGGAGGACAACGATGAGGCTGCCGATGTGGGAGCGCCTGCCACCAAAGTAAACACCAAAATGCCAGGGGTGGTGTCCAGCCTCACCGACCAAGACCAAGAGCAGGTGTAGCACCATGGTTATTTTGTCAGATGATTCTTTCATTTCGTACCTTCACATGAATACCCACTAATTATCGTAACTCTTTCGTAAACTATTCGTAACTTCTTAGTGGCTATTCGATTAATTTCAATTCGGGGCGATTCGTTGTATGCGCAACCCATGTGAAAGTGGGGCATATCAGGATAACAACATATAAGACGAAAATCTTCTCCAGATATATCAGAAGATGGACATGGGTTCAGATGGTTAATAATTATGTTTTGTTACTGATCCATGTTTCGTATTCCAGGTGTTCGAGATTATATTCACGTTGTTGACCTTGCAAAAGGTCACGTAGCTGCCCTTAAAAAGATTGAAGAAAACTGTGGCTGCAAGGTAAATATAATGCACATCTTTATAGGATCACAGAATTTTAACTATAGTCACACAGAATATACAATATGCAGAGAATTAACCTCTGTATCCTACATCAGTGTGAAATGATATATAAATTAATATGCATAATTATATAATATTGCATTTAAAAATGATAAGTACACATAGACTTTTAACTGAATTAGATGTATTTGTTATTATTATATGATGGACAACATTCATATAAATCAAAAATATATACTTGTATGTATTAGGCAACACAAATAAAATAACTTGATGAAAAAAAATAAATATGTCCCAGCGGGCACATAACGTTGTGACAACATTGTTCAGGGGTTGTATCACAACGTCTGAAATAGGTCAGCTGTAGGTTGTTTTGCAACAAACTCTTACGTTGTGACAACGTTGTACGGACGTCAAAGCAACATTGTCACAACGTTGTGTGGTGGTTGACGAAAAGTTGTGACAACGTTGTACGGACGCCAAAGCAACATTGTCACAACGTTGTGTGGTGGTTGACGAAAAGTTGTGACAACGTTGTACGGACGTCAAAGCAACATTGTCACAACGTTGTGTGGTGGTTGACGAAAAGTTGTGACAACGCTGTACGGACGTTCAAGCAACATTGTCACAACGTTGTGTGGTGGTTGACGAAAAGTTGTCACGACGTCAGAATTTGTTGTTTTTCAACGTTGTGTGGTGGTTGGCGAAAAGTTGTCACGACGTCAGAATTTGTTGTTTTGAGGTTGTATAAAACCCAGTATAAGCCCCATCCGAACTCCCTACAGTTCTGCCCCCACTGGACTAACGAAGACGGGAATAGGCGGCCGGGCACGATGGAAGTTAAATTAGGTGTGTGTTCGGGGAAGGGGGGGGGGGTGCTTAAATGCCCGACAGATTTGGGCCACGGTTTTGACATAGTGAAACGATACGCGAAGTTTCAACACCCTCACTCAATTAGAATCAAAGTTATTGTGTCCCATCACAACCAATCTAATTGCTTCTTTCTGAATAAAATCAGTATCAATTAATAGGACAGTACGTAGTTTCAAAACATTCAATTCAAACGATTATATTACAGTCAATATTAATGCTAGAGTCATATAACTTTGCAGTAATGGGTAAAGGTAATAGAATCTGATCATTAAATTTTAAGTAATGGTCATGTAATGAGTAATGGAAGATTTCAAAAGTAATGAGTAATGGAAATGTAATTAATTACATTCCGAAAATCATGTAATGGTCAATTACATTTCAATTACATTTAATGGCGCATTCTTTGAATGGCATTTAGTAATTAGAACATAATCAAATAACGCACTTTTATGGAATAACAATTACTATGGTTTATTTCACTGCAACGTTTCAACAAGATTTCACAAGTCGTTTTCAAGCATATATACACAAATAAATAAAATGAGAAAGATATGAATATATATATAAACATCAGTGCGAACTATCCAATGGTATGCATGTCTTTAAATCTGATTGATTAAATGCTAAATTAGCACTAATCTTTAAATAGTAATAAAATGTAATTATTTACTTTCAATGTAATGGGTAATGAATGATATTGCTAAAAATGAGAAAGTAATTTTAATGCAATTGGTACTGTAATAATAATAATAATTTATTATTTATAATGCGCCTATTACCAATATAAAACACTCAGTGCTCAATGGCGCAGTAAACATTTTGTGGACATCACACATAGAAAATAAAATAAAATTAAATGGATGATAAAAGAACTTAAAATGGCTTATAAACATTATAATAAAATATGACATGTAATAAACAAATTTAAACTGTACATGTACTTAATTGGTCCCTCGTCTGTCCGGCTCTTATTTTAGATGAGCCGAAACTGCTGTTATTATCTCGGCTTCATTGCAGCTCGGCTGACTGATCATTACACTATCTGAAGAATACAAAAAACTGTATATTTACTCTGTCAAATTTTGTAAATTATATAATTCAGTCCGATCAAAAAGGTGGTCCTAAAGCTGTAACAGATAATTCTGCATCCCATGAATTATGGACCAAAGGTGGCTTATTGGGTAAAACGCTGGCTCGCTTGTCTGGAGGTCGCATTTTCGATCCCTACATTTGCCGAGAAAGTTCAGTAGGCTTGAGAAGGACAACTGTTAGTCGTTTGGATGGTATGAAAAACCGAGGCCTCGTGTACACATTGACGTGCAAGTAAAAGATCTCTTGGCAGTTGGAATTCGATATAAGAGTAGGCCATAGTGCCGCTGCCCGGGCAAATTTTTCCTTCATTGCACGCGGTATAGCGCATGCCCATCTTCATTAGCCTAGTCTGAGCAGAACAGTAGGACGTTAAACCCCATATGAATTATATTATATATGACCCAATAACACATTCTATATGAGACATCGCTTGTGTTATTACTTTCATATTCTCCATAAATTTGTACGTGTAAGAAAGGCATGGGTGTTAAATTACAAAAAAGATAGGTTGCCAGGCAACGAAACATACGCCCACAGCAGCTAAATCGTCCGGGCGGTCAACAAGAGTTGTCGCATATTTTTACTTTTTTCGGTAATGAAACATTTATAATACACTAAAATCTGATTAAGAGCAACAACTCAGAAAACCATTAGAATTTGTTTGGTTTTTATAAAGTTCTGCCCCATGCTAACGTTTTGTATACAAAACTTTTAATACTGTATCATGGATTTAGCTGTCCAAGTCATAAAGATAGGTTGCCAGGCAACGAAACATACACCCACAGTACCTAAATAGTCCAGGCAGTCAACAACAGTTGTCACATATTTTTACTTTTTTCGGTAATGAAACATTTATAATACACTAAAATCTGATTAAGAGCAACAACTCAGAAAACCATTAGAATTTGTTAGGTTTTTATAAAGTTCTGCCCCATGCTAACGTTTTGTATACAAAACTTTTAATACTGTATCATGGATTTAGCTGTTTCAAGTCATAATAATTCATTGAAAATCAATATACTTGTTCGCCTCAAGATCTTAAACTCTGTGTATCAATCTGAAGTCAATCGGATATTAACTTTGGCCTCTAGAGCGTCCCCAAGATTTTTCAAAGTGATCAAGGGCCATAACTTTGGCAGTAATTATCAGAAATCTTTGAAAATCAATAGGATTCTTCGCCTCGTGACCTCAAACACTGTGTATAAATTTAAAGTCAATGAGATTAACTTTAGCCTTTAGAGCATCCACAAGGTTTTTTGAAGTGATCAAGGGCCATAACTCTGGAAGTAATTATCGAAAATCACTGAAAATGAATAGACTTCTTCGTCTCATGACCTTAAACACTGTGTATAAATTTAAAGTCAATCGGATATTAACTTTAGACTCTAGAGCGTCCACAAGATTTTTCAAAGTGATCAAGGGCCATAACTCTGGCAGTAATTATCGTAAATTGCTGAAAATCAACAGGCTTCTTCGTCTCATGACCTTAAACACTGCGTATAAATTTAAAGTCAATCGGATATTAACTTTGGCCTCTAGAGCGTCCACAAGATTTTTTGAAGTGATCAAGGGCCATAACTCTGGCAGTAATTATCGGAAATCGCTGAAAATGAATAGGCTTCTTCGTCTCATGACCTTAAACACTGTGTATAAATTTAAAGTCAATCGGATATTAACTTTGGCCTCTAGAGCGTCCACAAGATTTTTTGAAGTGATCAAGAGCCATAACTCTGGCAGTAATTATCGGAAATCACTGAAAATCAATAGGATTCTTGGTCTCATGACCTTAAACACTGTGTATAAATTTAAAGTCAATCGGATATTAACTGTGGCCTCTAGAGCGTCCACAAGATTTTTTGAAGTGATCAAGGGCCATAACTCTGGCAGTAATTATCGGAAATCGCTGAAAATCAATAGGCTTCTTCGTCTCATGACCTTAAACACTGTGTATAAATTTAAAGTCTATCGGATATTAACTTTGGCCTCTAGAGCGTCCACAAGATTTTTTGAAGTGATCAAGGACCATAACTCTGGCAGTAATTATCGGAAATCGCTGAAAATCAATAGGCTTCTTCGTCTCATGACCTTAAACACTGTGTATAAATTTAAAGTCAATCGGATATTAACTTTGGCCTCTAGAGCGTCCACAAGATTTTTTGAAGTGATCAAGCAATTGTGGACGCCGGACCGACGGACGAATGGACGGGGGCGAGGACAATATACGACCACATTTCAATGTCGGCGTATAAAAAGATCAACACTCATCGATGAAGTAATAAAAACTCGTGTATGCCCATACCATGTTTGATTATCCGATATTTAAGGATATGTTCGTAAATTGAGTATGATAAAAACAAACCTCGGACAACTTTGTAAATTTCTAAGTCCATTATGGACCGCCTCCCTTTATTTCCCTTTAAATTAAATTGGGCCATTAGGGAATTAGACATCAACCTGTTAAAATAAAAAGACATACTGTTTATGCGTTTAACAATACCACGAATTTTGACTTTCCATTCCTTGACACCTAGAAATGGACATAAATGGGTTGCAACGCATATAATAATGTAATATGTTTGTATATTAACTGATTTACATTCAATCGTTTCTGTTTTTACTGTAATGTCTAATCAGTTATGTTCGGCGAAATACGCGAAGAGAGAGAGAGAAATGGGGTTTAACGTCCACTTGACACAAACTTGGTCATTTCGGGACTAACACATGGTTCAATTTATTTCAATAATTCGCTAGCGCGTAGGGGTCTTTTTAGCAGTGGGAGGAAACCGGAGGACCCGGAGAAAACCCACCAGGTTAGACAGGCGACCAAACTCCTTGTCACGTACAACCGGGGAATCGAAACCCCGCCAGTTGACTCAATGACAGACCGTATGATACAGCGTGCGCGTGCTAACCATTCGGCCATCCAACCCCCCATACGCGAAGAGTCCAAATTGAATGCCAGTCTTTGGCGTCTGGTTATTCAAGTTTACACCCGCATATAGTATTCTCTTGGGTATATTTAACTTCATTCTTCGAGTCCCTCTATTACAAATGAAATTTGAAAGCATTCTTGCGCGCGATTCGTGTGGCAATTTCAAAACTTTAACTTTGTGTTAAATATTGGACATTAGAAGCCCATCTTTTCACGGTTACAACATTGATGTTGGGTTTAATTAAACAATGAGTCCCATGGTTGCAATGTCGAAGACTGTGGATGATATTGAGTTAGAGACTTGACTCCTTTAAGACGAAGACGATTGGAAAACGAATGTACGATTATTTTATCAATTTGTTTTCAAAAGAAAGAATACGACTTTAAACTGGTAACCACCAAGGCTCATCAGATGGGTTACCTATAGCTATAACATGAAATAAATGAAACACATCTAGTATATTATTATATTTCAATCACTGTAATATTTACAATCAATGTCAGTTCAATTATGCAGGTGTATGCTCATGGATATTGATGTTGTACATTTAATAATAAAATTACCCTTCACTTGAATTAAATCTAAAACCCACAAGCATGTAATTAAAGAGCTGTGGTGTTAACAGTCGCACTAGCCCGGCATTATATCCACCTGTCCGTAGATCGACAAAGTACAAGATTTAATTTTCAGAGCATATATGTTTTGTTGCGTGTCAACCTATCTTTTTAATTAAGATCGTAGACTTGGTTGCCTAATAATTAAGATGTATACAGCGACTTGGTTAACCGTTCATCGGTTACTACTGGTGAAACGGTTAAAAAAATTACAAACCGATATTCGTTTTCATATCATATTTGACATTCAAAACCAGGAATGGTAGCCAAAAATGTTTTCATTCACTAAAGACTATATAAATAGTTCATACAGCACAAAGTTCATATAGCATTTGTCATTTGTAATATATCACGGGAAATTAATGTCTTATTAATTCCCGCTCGAAGTTTTGTACACGTTACATTATTATTAACACTCCCTGCAAAGCTTGGGGTAGTATCAACTTATCTAAACAATTCATGAAATTGGTAACCCTATAAATTTAAAGATAATAGATAATGGGAAAGTCCATTATACAATACTATAAATATTGAAATGGCCCCTTCCAATTCCAGACATAGATTGAAATAGCTCTTTCCAAATCCAGACATAGCAAATGACCAAAAACTAAATGATTAAAATGCAATACAATTATAAAATAAAAACACTAAAGTTTCAGAACTAAAATAAATCATTTAAGAGATAATAAAACATATTTAAAATACTTAATTTACTTTGCAAGGAGGGTTCAATAATGAAATGACAATAGAAGTTCGACTACGTGGAAATGGCACCAGTAGAAAATAATCTACAATTACCGAAACAATTAATTCTTTTATATCATAATTATTTCTAAATGGACACAAAATATTAATTAATCGTAACATACCTAATTCTCAACTGTTACGCCTTCTAGCAACTTATAAAACTCGACAGTTTATCACAGCTCTATAAAAGCAGCCATGCAGGTTTGGCTGGGATTCCTTTTTGGCGGAAAGATGTTTAAATTTGATTGGGCCAACTGTCAACCTTGGGTGTGTTTTAAAATAAAATATGTATAAGATAATTAATCTTGACCTTTATTGGGTTTTTTTTATATACCGGTACATTAAATATAGATATTTTGCAATTAAGTTATGAACGTAATTAAGTTTTAAAGGTGTAATAAACGTTTAATAAATGTTTTTTAAAAAAAAAAAAATTTCAAATGGCGTGTATGGGTAATTGTTACCTATTCATTGCGGGTTCTTTATAAACGGTTCATAAACGTTTAAAAAAATCATATTTACGGTACTACGTTTTAATGGAAAATTTTGTAAGAAAACATCAATTATGAACGTTATCTAAACATATTATATTAAACATTTTTATCAATATTTATCGAAACTTCTGAAAAACTTACACTTAAAACATTTAAAAAACGTTTAATAAATATTTTTTTTTTTACATAACCTTTTAGAAACAAGAAAAATAACAAAAACAAAAACAAAAAACGTTTTTGAAATATTTTGTGCTTGCTGGGATTCACTTAGAACTGTAATTAATTAAATAATGGCCAGGTTTCACACTTATATATAATGAGCGCCATGGAAAACGCATCACTTAGTTTTTCGTATAACAAAATGATCCTGTAAACATATCTTATTTTTTTTGCTTCTTATTGTGAACAATATTCAAATGGGAACACATCAATAACAACACATTTGTACACTTATGGATGTTTAATCTGTAATCAACGGTACAAAGTCAGAGGGGTCAAAACCAAAAGTACGACACAGATGTCAGTAGCGCGTGTGTCCTCCACGGGCTTTTACGCACGCTGTGCAGCGACGTCGCATGGAATTAACCAATGTTTGAAAGAAGGCCTGGGGCAAATTGTTCCATTCTTGGACAAGAGCAGCTTCTAAAGCAGCAATGGTGTGCATCTGTGGTCTCCGATACAGACGGCGTCCAATCTCATCCCAGACATGCTCTATTGGTGCCATGTCCGGAGACATGGCTGGCCAGTTCAAGACATTGATGTTGTTAGCAGCCAGGAAGTCCATACTAAAACGGGCGGTATGCGAACGTGCATTATCCTGTTGGAAGTGCTGAAGTTGTGGGTGCGCTCGAAACATCGGAACAACAATTGGTTGCAAGACATCATCACGGTAGGCTACAGCATTAACGCGACCCCTGCAAATGTGTAGGGCGGTCCGGTGATGAAATGTGAAGCCTCCCCACATCATTACACTTCCCCCACCCCATCGATTCGTTTTGAAGACGCAGCAGTCTGCAAGACGTTCCTCAAGACGTCTCCACACACGTTGACGGCCATCAGCGTGATAAAGATGAAAGCGACTCCCATCACTGAAGAGCACACTTTGCCAGTCTATTCTTCTCCATGTCTGGTGTGTCCTTGAGCCCATATCAAACGCCGCTGACGGTGATGATCCCTAAGGATAGCTCCAACATAAGGTCGTCGTCGAGTCCTACTTCTCTTAGACGACGTCTTACGGTGTTGGCACTTACTGGTCCTTGTCTTTCGACGACTGCCGCACATGTTTGAGTCGCTGGGCAGAATCTGTCACGCAGATGAGTGACCCGGATGTAGCGGTCTTGAGCCTGGGTTGTAACGCGTTGTGGACCAGGACGTTGACGGTCACGCGCTGATCCAGTAACTCGAATACGTTCCACCAACCTTACAGTAGTGGACTGATGACAATTGAGGTGTCTGGCAATAATAGCACGCGTAGACATGCCAGCCCTGGACATTCCCATGGCTTCATTCCGTTGATTTTCAGTAAGTCTCGGCATCTCTAGCTCGATTCCTTCACACGTCCAACAACAAATTACGACAAATTCACGTTTCACAGTTCATGTACAGCACATTAAGTTGAAAACATGCTTTTAAAGGGCTCACACACAATGCTGCAGGTGAATATTGGGTTTTTCATGTGCATCTCATGCAATTTTTTTTTGTGCACACGGGCCGAAATTTTTTGCGTTTGGGAGCATTGTGTGAAACAATAGTTCATAGTATTGCATAATATTATACATACAAAACCAACTAGTAATAAAATATTTGGGAAAAAAAGTGATGCGTTTTCCATGGCGCTCAGTAATATAACGGTATCTACTTAAAATGATCATTTAAATACTTAAAAGAGATTGAATTGATTTCATTATTCTTTTATTATTTTTTTTTTTTTATACCGGAATAGTATTATTAAATTTACATTAGCACTATTAGATGTCGATCTACGGCTGTTTTTATTAATAATTTGTTTAGTGAAGCCGAATGATAAAAATTGCGTTAAGTCTACGTCGATCGAGATTTTGCCGTGGGTAACAAAACTCCGTCAAATCAAATAGCCCAGTGACGTGTAGAATAGATCAAATGGCTTGCTATGTGTCGCAAATTATTCGTTTAATGGCTATGTATATGAGTAATATGAAAAAACTAATGATGAGAGATTTCATTTAGATTAGATCTACTTGCGCAACACATCAACGCAAATGTCTAGCCTAGACTAGTGCAGATCACGTCGGTTCTAAATTCTACGTCGCTTGGCCTAGACTCGTGTATTCTGAGCGGACTGACACAATCATGCAGCTGGTCCAGTTAGTTTTAATAGTTAAAGCAAGAATTTCATATTTTCTAAGAAAGTCAAAACATAATTATTTCTATATCTTTTGCTCAATAGGCTGTCAACTCAATATTATAGGATCATAGGTATCATTATGGCACTTATAAAATCATTCACACCGGAAATAATAACACAATTACCACCTTTGTTGTTCTACCCCCCCCCCCCCCCATGGAAAAACTATCTGCAAACATTTGAATTAGAAGTTGAAAATGATATTTTGGCCAATTTCTCAACTGGCAATAGTGAATTATAGGAATAATAGGATTATTCTGTAACAAGGTAGGACTGTTTATAGATACCATCTATTTTAAAGCTTTACTTTAATACATTTTAAAAATATAACTTAAAAATATGAAATTCACTCGGCACAGCTGCAGTCTGAGTGTGTTTTGAAATGAACGTCGCCACTTACATCGCGGTCGTCAACAAAGTCCATGCCTACATTGCCGGTAATCATATTCGAGGGGCTTTCATATTCAACTTAATAATAATAGTCTCTGTTACTACATGATGTATGTATAGGTGCGCGTGTTTTACATACATGTAAATATAGTTGGTGTTTTTGTTGTTTTATAGCCATTGATAATGCTGTTGCGTAGGTAGCCTAATGTTTTGTTTGTATTTGTATGCTGTCTCTAATAGCCTAATGGGGTGTTAAGATACAATATAATTTTATCTGATCTTATATTAGCCTTAGAAGAAGCAATTGACGATTTTTATATCCCTTCCACATACCCGGTTGAGAGTTAAAATAATAGAACTTACCTTCGGCACGAACCAAAAAACCAATATGGCGTCCCAGAAGCATCTTTCGCGGCAACATTTAGAGTCACGTTATCAGTTTCCGCGGGAAAAAAACCCGCTAGTGTTACCAGATAATTTACTGAAGAATTAACCGGAATATTTGTCAGCTTCTAGTTGTTTTACAATAAGCCTTAAATAAAATGTATTATAGTTTGTATTGTGTTATTAAATCTCGATCTACGTCGTTAACCAATACAACTGTACCCAAGATCATACGTCAATTTCTATAGATAAGCGCATTGCAATTCCTGTTTTATTCACTGAATTTGTGTAGCAAACGCTGCACACTACACAATATGCATTAATCACCATTTTCTGTGCTTTGTGTTATTATTTCAATTGAAAAAAACCGGATGTAAAAACAGCGACATTTAGGTGCGGGAGAGGCATCTCGTTTACAGTTCATAATACATTTTTATAATACTTGACGGACGCAAACGCCTTTTCTTGCTTTCCCAACCCGTGTGCTCAGCAACATGAAAGCAAGCCAGTATTGCCTATTTAGTACACCAATAACTTTAATGCATTAAAGGAAATTATGATTTCCGAAAAATTATAAAACAAATAAATGACCGATGTCGCACACCGCCGAGTGGGACCCGACGAAATGTTTCAATCCGCGATCAATGCAGTACAAATTCGCCGTGTTCAATGACAAGAAAGTGAAAATGTTTTATTATACTTAAAAATCATCGAATTTGGGGCTCTTTATTTGACTGACAAGAAAGCAAAATATTTTCTTCCAAATAACATTCTGAAAGTTCCGCTTTCACTTTCTCTCGGGATTTTGAATGTGACTTTTTACCTAAATGGCTGCCGGGAACAGGGAATGTCAGGCAATGTCATGACCTTGACTCAGGTTACAACCCCAAAATTGACCTTGCGGGTGCGGGTCACGACTTTGACCTTGAGATTTATTCGTGATATCTGGGTGGTACATGAAGTTTTGGGACTTTTTCGATCCCAAGGTCAAGGGTCAGGTCAAAGGTCAAGGCCCCATTCGAAAGGTCAATGAGTTGCCTATCCATGGTCATGACCTTTGATTTGCCGCGCAGACCAGGGGCCCCACCATGTGCCCGGGAGCATCGAACTCAGTAGATATTTTGGTGACCTTGACCCTTTCAGATGACCTTGACCTACCGGGGTCATGTGGACCAAGATGACATTTTGGAAGGTCAAGGTCCAGTGGTCCTGACTTTATTAGATGGGCCCCTAGGGTTCAAAAACCAAAATACTTCCGGGGCCCCTAGCGGGTCAAGGTCACGACTTTTGGTTGGCGATTTTAAAAAATGAAGAACAAATGTTGGGTCAGTCTATCGGGTCACCAAACCCCGGGGCGATCGGAAGACATTTTTGGGGCAAATTTCCCTAGAAAGTGAAATAGCTGAGCATTACAGCGGTGTGGTCTAAGGGCAGATAACTCGCCCATCCCAAATCGGATCCGACGACCTTGAGGTCGTGGCTATTTAAACTAAATTGACCCCTGGGAGTCTCGTGGTGACCTTGGTTTGACAATCAGAGGTCAAGGTTCGAACTGCTATATATGACGTTTCGATAACGTTATGACAATGTTGTGACAACGTTTTAACAACGTTGTGACAACAACCTGTATATGAAGTTTTGATAACGTTGTGACAACGTTGTGACAACGTTGTGACAACAACCTGTATATGACGTTTTGATAACGTTTTGAAGACGTTGTGACAACGTTGTGACCACGTTGTAACAACGCCGTGACAACAACCTGTATATGACGTTTTGATAACGTTGTGAGAACAACCTGTATAATAATGACGTTTTGGTAACGTTTTGAAGACGTTGTGACAACGTTGTGACAAAGTTGTAAAACCGCTGTGACAACAACCTGTATATGACGTTTTGAAGACGTTGTGACAACAACCTGTATATGACGTTTTGATAACGTTTTGAAGACGTTGTGACAACAACCTGTATATGACGTTAGAATAACGTCTTGATGACGTTGTGACAATGTTGTGACAACGTTGTGACAACAACCTGTATATGACGTTTTGATAACGTTTTGATGACGTTGTGACAACGTTGTGTCAACAACCTGTATATGACGTAAATACAACGTCGAATATTGGTCGAAAACACGTTGTACAACGTCACGACCAATATTGACGTTGTCACAATGTTGTAACAACGTTGCGTGCCCGCTGGGGTAACGCCCGCCCGCACATCGACAAGCAAGTCGTAAAAAAAATATCCCGCATGTACCTACATCCGCCATACATGTATATCTATTCAAATGTATTAAAACTGATTCAGATGAACATGCTGTCTTTTTTATCCGAACAATGGCGAAGTTTGGCAGATTTGCCTTTTTTATTGATATCGAAAGAACCTCCATTTTGTATCACGTGGTATTAATTACCTCCCCTGATAAACTAGAATTTGATTCGTGTTAAAAGTCATTGGCGACAATATTTCAATCATTCGATCGTAATCGGCTCATTATTGCCGGCTTCAGTCGGTCCTTGTTTGGAAAATCCTATTGATAAAATAATGAACCGTAGAACAGTTTAATTAATTATAGCTAAGAATACGATACGATGACGATAGTCGTCATAATGCATACCTTAGAATCTGGGTCATTATTAGCACATTTACGGTAGTTTCGATAATCCGGAAAATAATAATTGGATTACCGATTTGATGGTTTTACTGACCAGTTGTTAGTTAGATTTAAATAGTCATTCAATATAAACACCGGATAGAACACCGAATATCCTGAGAAACACACCGAATATCCCAAGAAACAGTATTTCCGGCAATCTCCAATACCGATGACACGGTGTGACATGCATTGGTTGGAATTCGGTAAATAATTATAAATAAACCGGCGATACTAGATTTTGTTTTAAATACTGTTTACCATGATTATTATTTTTGATACACCTGGTGAAAGAGGCTTAGTTTTTAAAAATATTGTTGTCTTTATGGAGGGCTATACATAGTCGTATGGAATTTTATTTTAAACCAATTTCAATTATGTGAATTAAATATGGAAAATTATTTTCCTTTCAGTCAGTGTTCAGTCTCAGTGTTTTAGTAGACTTGATTTTGGGTTTATGTTTTAAGTATGTACAATAAAGTTGAATATAACGGAAAGCAAAAACGTAAACAAGTAATGACTTTCTCATTTAAAAAAAAAAAAAAAGAAAGACCGCCCTCCCGCCCCAACAATTTTCAGCAATAGCCAAATTTTATTTTGCACCATCAATGAGTAAAAAAAAAAAAAGAAACCGCCCTCCCTCCCTACAGTTTCAGCTGTCAGTTGCCCGAGAAACAAGACATTTATTTTGTGTGGCCTTACATGTACATATATTTTCACAACATATAATATACTAAACAGCAAAAAAAATGTCAGTACTATTTCAAAATCAGAGAGGCACTTTAATCATTCTAGAAAACGACTTCCTAATTGGATCAAAGCAATTTTTTGTGAACAGTATGTTGACTCATTAGTGATTAATTCATCACAATTCCGAGAAGGTTTAGAGTCTGTACACAGTCTATACATCAGTATCTGGTGTGTCCACTGCAAGTGTCAATAACAGCAGCGCAGCATCTGTACATGGAGTTGATAAACACCATTGGCAGCGCAGCATCTGTACATGGAGTTGATAAACACCATTGGCACCTGGAACCATACTCTCAGAAAAGCCTGGCACAATCCATCGGCTGTTTGGTCTCAGTAGGACGTTATTAAGTCTCCTCTGAATTTCATCCTAAAGATATTCAATCAGGTTTAAGTCCGGGCTAAGGGCTGGCCAGTGCATAACTTTGACACCGTTCTGCTGTAGAAAATCACAAGTAACTCTGGCTGTGTGGGCATGGGTGTTGTCATGCTGGAAAATGTTGTTTCAATGACATGCGGAATGTGGTATGACTTGGGGTCTGAGAGTTGATAGATGTAGTGCACTGCTGTGATGTCGCCTTCTCTCCCTGGACCAAGATTTTGGAACACCACAGGACCCACTCTCTGGTTCAGGCCAATTCCACCCCAAACCATTATGCTTGGACCTCTGCATGCATCTCGTTCCATGACACATTGGTCAGAATAACGCTGGCCACGTCAACGCCATGTGCTAGTCCTGCCATCTGCAGTTCATACACAATACCAACTCTCATCTGTGAACAGAACAGTTCTCCATTGCATGTGTTGCCAGTTCTTGTGTTGTTGGGCAAACTGTAGAGGTTCACGTCGATGGTGAGGATCGGTCTACGGCAATGGATGTTTTCTCTGGTGAGACGTCAGCGCACTGTATCGGTACTGCTGGGTCTTCCGTGTGTTCCCACTGTCTGACGTGCTGTCTCAGATGCCTGTGTGAAGGGATTCTGCATGTGCTGTCGCACAACACGGCAATCTTGTCGCCTTGTGGTAACCCTTGGTCTACCAGTTCATTGACCTGGAAGTGATTGACAATGGCTTGGGCAGTGTAGCCAGCGTCAAGTCTTCCAAGCGCCTGGTTCCTCTGAGCTGTCGTGAGTCATGGCATGCTGCTGACGTTGTAGTGTGAATGATTCAACCAGGTATGGTGTTGCATTTTATAGGGCTGGTCCCGGTGAACAGCACGTGCAGCAGGAGTTACATGAAAGTTATGGAGAACACATTACCATCTCAGAAGTCAGGTTGCGTTTTTGAGAACATTTCCAGTGTTCAATTCTGTGTTTAGGAAGGAGCCTTATTGCTCATGTAAAGTTGGAGATGTGGTCACAAATATACAATAAAAACATTTGGCAAGTTTTATGTAATGCATCTATTCAGAGTAACATACCAACCTGGCGGTTTTTTTTGCTTAGTATACAATATTATTTTTTGTTACAGACATATAACTTAGGCACAGGTATAGGTTGTTCTGTATTAGATATGGTAAAAGCTTTTGAAACTGCTTCCAGTAAAAAGGTATATATATAATTTTGTAGTGTAATCCTAAATTAGATGAACATTTTCAGATAATCCCCATTTTTCACCCACCAGTAACAAGGTCAGCCATGCTGTGTATAAATCTTGTAGATATAGATAATTTTTGGATAGCAATAAGAAAGGGATTCATTAAGTTTAAATGTGAATGTAAGGGTAGCTCCCTGATATAACCTGATCCATAGTATCACCAAGGTTTATAAAATTCAGTTGAGAACTCTGCCTTATTAAAGACATCAGAATTTTTAACAAGAAAATAAATGAAACACATTCCACGTAATATATTTAAAATAACTCTAGATTTAACCAGTTATCTAAATTCATATTTAGATCAAAGCATTGTTCGTAAGCGTCTGATGAATGTTTGAAACCCACTATTGGCCATAATGCATGCAAATTGTAGTAATATAAATTTCTATTAATTAATAATTAAAGTAAAGATTTGTATTATTTTGGTGTGATAGAAAGAAACTGGACTATGGGTTTTATATTAATCTGTTGAAATAGTTATAAATGTGAATATGAACTGTACATTTTATAGATACTGTATAGCCTGGAACCACGTAGAGCAGGAGATGTTGCTAGTTGTTATGGTGCTACAGATTTAGCTGAAAAAGAACTTGGATGGAAAGCACAGAAAGATTTAAATACAATGTGTAAGTAGAATATTGCTTGAAGATAACACCAATTATTCAGCACCTGCTTTGAGCATAGTTATGTTTATTTCTATATTACATGAATTTAATCAAGATAATTTAATTAATGTAGAATATACTGTACATAGAAATTTAACTTGTTTACTCACCCAGAGTTCAGTGTTCTTTGATATTCTGAATGAGGAAAGAAACATTGTTTTGGAGCTTTTTTAAAATGAACTTTGACTTTCACAGGTGCAGATTTATGGAGATGGCAATCATCAAACCCAAATGGTTATCGTGTTTGATAATGTAGTTCATAGTTTGAATTATTATATAAGATATATAGGAAACATTTGTTATATGTTTAAGGGTTAAACATCAACATAGTGATAATACAGCTAGACGCCTTTGTCATACCTAAAAGTATTATTCTTGTTAAAAGTCTTCCAATTGTGTGTGTTAATGAGTGGATTTGGGTTAAGTTGACTTTTTAAAACAAAAACAACTAGATCTGCCAGGCAGATATGAAAGCTTTCACATTCATGGTCACTTCTTGTCACATGTCATGGGATATATAAAGAATCTTAACAAGAAAAAAAATAGTCTTGATTATATACATTATGTGTTATTGTAGTCTGGGTTTTTATTTGTTTTAAATAGGCTTTATGTTTTAGATAAATCAATATATATTTATTATTTGGTAATGTAAATATTGTTTGATCCTGGTGGGTTTCATTTATGCTTTATATGTATTCAATATAGGAATAAATAATATGAATTTCTAAGAGATATAAATGCAATGAATTAATTATTAATGTTTATGAGGTAGAAATACAATGAATTTTATTTTATTATTATCTAATAAGAGAAATAAATAAAGGTTATTAAATTTACAATGCTTTGTTAACTTATTTCAGTTTATTATTGGCAGTGCAGCTTCATAAAAATAAATGCTTTAATCGAGTCTTCTAAAGATATCGGGGGCCCAACATACTGAGTGGACTTTTTCCATGGTGTAGTACCTTCATATTGTTAATGGTTGTCCTGTCTTCAAAAATATACTCTTCAAAAAAAGTAGGGGATATTAAAATGCAAATACCTATGCAGGTTGTGATATGATAAATAGTCATGGACACTTGACATGCTTTGAGAGTATGTTCACAGATTAAGAACTTATCGCCCCAACAGAACCACTGAGCTGCACATGCGACACGCAATAGCGCCATACATGTGGGAGGGGTTCATTGTCAAATTTGACTCTCCAAGGAAGGGTTGATGAAAACTGCCACTTGCTGGTTTATCCTATCCATGTTTGCTTTCCTATCGGTTCTTGCATAAGATTTACTGTTTAGCGTATACATCTTTGCTTTAGTGTGTTACGTTTAATTTGATCGGGAGACGTGTTCGTCGACCGACAACACTGCAAGAGGAGTGGATCAGATTGCCCCAAATCGTGATTGGACGGTTGATTAGGAGCATGCCACGACGAATTGCTGAATGTCTGAGGATTGGTGGAGCAATTACTTATTGTTAAGACAAAAATCAAAAACATCCATTTTCACTTTTGACAGTGTATCTCTTTGCGAGAGAAATGGGGCCGTCAGATAAGCTGCCCATATGAACTGTTTATGTTCATGTGTAGGCAATTGGCCTGATATTAACATACACTGGTTACCTCTAATAAAAACAGCAGTGCATTTCCGCAGTTTTGTATTGTTTCTGAATATCCCCTATTTTTTTTGAAGAGTATACATAGGATTATTTGAGGCTGATGGATGTGTAAGTTTTGTATATTGGTGACCAGTCAAACTCACAAAAGTGGAAGTGAAATATTGATTTTGGTTAACAATTTATTATGTTCTCAGAATTATCCAATAAAGAGTTTGTCCAGTGATATGTATTTCTATGTAATATGCATGATCTCCAAACTAGATTATCCATTATTATTATCTATCTTCATGCACATGTGTCAAATCTGAATGAAGTCTGTAACATAGCAAATGAAGAGTTGCACTAAAGATGTCAAAGGCAATAGCTCATGTAAGAGTCACAGAATTAGAATCTCCATAATTTGTGTCAAGTTTGAAGAAACCCCTGAATTGGTTTCAGAGGAGTTGCATTTTTAGATCTGGAGCGAAATGGGGTGTAATGTCCATTCAATACTAACCAGCTCATTCTTACACTGAAAATTTTTTATTACCATAATTTGCTTTAGCCAAGTGGGATTTATAAGTCAGAGGAAATGTGAGTATAAGGAGAAAAGCAACCCTATACTCCTTGTCATGTACAATCCTGGGATCAAACCCATTTCTTGCATAGATAATGGGTCTAATGATCTAAGCCTCTGTTACAGAAGTCTGCTGTTACTGGGTTTAACTTTAAACAGACAGATGGACAAGGTGATCTCTATTTCAAAGACCTTCCCTCAAACTTAATTTGAGAGGGGTATGAATCATGTGGCTATGTGGAAAGTTACTTTGATTGACTATTACTGACAGCTTCTCCTCCCCTAAGAAAAAATACAATAATTACTACTTTTATGTATCACAAAAAAGTGTTTATACATTAAATAATGGCAAGACAACAATAATCTTTCAAATATGGTATAACATGGCTATTGGTATAGTTGAGGATAAATTCACATTAACCCAATAAAATTATATAAAATTTACTTGTTTCATTGAAATGATCAATAATTTATAATTAGTACTGGTACTTCCTCTAACAATTTAATGTTAAAATCCTCTCCGCACGTTTCCCCATTTAATTTCCCAAGCTACATCATTCAAATATATCTCAAAACTCGAAATACTTCAATGTTAGTGAAAGAAAGACTCCTGCTATTATATACTTAAAAGTACATCTGATGACATAGAACAACATAATTAAAATTGGATTCATTATTATTATTGGGGGGGGGGGAGAATATTTATATTGGGTAAATGCAAAAAAATACAATAAATATTTGTAAAGTATGCACCATTAAGCAGAGAAATACCCATAGAATGTGGTTTCATTTTGTTGTTCTTTATCTAAAATAACAGAAGAGTTATTTCTGTAAACCTGTCACATCATCAACTTCAATATGTCCTGTGGTTTTTATTTGCTCTATTAGTTCTTGTCTGTCTTTTGGTAATGTTGCAAAATATTTTTTCTGTTCCTCACAATATTTCTTGTCTGAAGGAACAATATCTCGGAATGACCAGTCCTGCCACTGAAAATTATATCTATTTAACAGTTCAATTTTTAATTCATCTGTGGACACACAATCTGATGGCGACTTTTTCTCTAAATTTACACATTTCACATTCTTGAATATTATAACACCTCTCAAAGCAAACCAGCCACCATATTTCGGATGAACACTCACACCAAATATTTTCTGAAATGTAAAATTTTTAGTGAAGTAGTGTGATGTAAACTTTCTCACTAACTTGTGGCACTAACCATGGCCAACCTTCCACTGTTGTAATATGAATATGGCATTCTTAGGGGATCATACCAAATTGCATGTAAATCACTTCTGAATTTATTTGTGCTATTTGTTATGTACCATTTTGAGTGTCTGTTTGAAAATCTCTACCATCAGAGGAATGCAAAACCTGTTACGTTGTTTCCGAAAATATATCAAATGATTAAAACCAGACATTGTTCATAAACCCATTTTGAGAACCAGCAGAGTTTTTTTTTACCCCAAATTGAGTATTGGGTGAGCAGAGGAGTGAAGAAGAAGAGGAGAGGTGGATGGAATATTTACACATGAATCATTTTCAGGGATACCACTAAATAAATTGTTGTATCAATAAACAATGTTTACCTGCGATTTATCCCATGGTACATTTTTAACATCTGATGCTTGGTAATAATATGCCGCTCCTGCAACATGGCCTGCAGTTTGTACCAAAACTTTTGGTCGTCTGGTGTGATGAAGTTCAAAATCATGAATTATTTCTATCTCTTCATCGGGGAAATTCTTCAAGAAAAAAAAATCAAACAAACTGGTTATTTATTACTATATATCATGAGACCTCAATTTGTTTTTACCTAATTATTCAAATAAGCCAAAACATGGCAGACTGTCATGCATGATGTTGCAAAAGAATAGGAGACCTGACCAAACCAACAACCCATATCACTTTGTTACAATATATAAAAAACAGTTCTAAAGATTTGAAAATTCTGATTCTTAAACATACATTATGCAAGAGCTAAATCTGCCTATTGCAGGTCTTTCTTTAGGCCTGAAATGTTATCTAAATTATTAATAATAATTAGACATTAATTAACTTATCCAGACCATAATCAACTATCGATGTCATCGCTAGCCTGCAATGTTTATTGGATTAGGTTCCGATTTGCTGTTCGACTTCCATTGATGATTTAAATCATGAAATGGACAATGAAGACTATGTTTTCTTTTGTACCGACTTTAGTAATGATGATCGAGGCTAGGCCGAAAATTCAAACACTAAAATCTCGGTTCAGGGTCGATCAATTTGACTGAAATTTTTAGCAAATTCCCATTACATTATCTAGTTTTTAACTATTATAGTGAGAACTGCCAGCTATTTATCTATCTCCCATAATGTATCTTTAATGTAAAAATTCTGTTTGTTACAACTTTTCAAAGTTGGAAATGAAATGGGGTTGATTTATAGAAATAGTAGTTCAACAGCCAATAAACGTGATACCAAAGGAATCTGATGTCAACTTCCCTCAACGTCATGATTTTACATGAAAGTTATATTGTACCGAATGATTAAATTTCTGTTGAATTTTGCTTTAATTTTCACAATGCGGGGAAACCTGATTTTTAAAAAGTATATATATGCTTTGTGTAGACTGCCCATTACCTACTCCATTGTGTTTTCAAAGTTACATATCTTATAAGCATGTATGTTTTTTTGCAATATAGGAAAATACTACATAATGAAGTCATACAGTTAGTATCTCGTTTATCACCTATATTTTATAGTTTCTTGAAAGATAACTATCACCATAGAAACCAATTCCAATATATGCAGCACTAATCAGAAAGCAGATACTAGGGTTCTCTGAATGAACTTTGTTTTGGATGTGCTGCTTGTCATTAATTGGGAATTAAGGCTTTGAAAATTTTATTGTAGATTAATAAATGACTCAATTTAAAGTCATCCATCATTACTTTTTTTATTTTTTGAAAACAGTCCACCATACATTCATCAATTAAATCTCGTCCACCATTACAATCTTGTCTACAAACAAACGGTTTGAAGGCTTTATCAAACATATCAGGAGTACTGATCACAATGAAAGCAAGTGTGTCATAATCATATGGCAGGATGTAATTTTTCATAACACACTCATTGTACCAACCAATCTGAAAAAAAACAAGAACAAAATTAAATCGTCCCCAACAAAATAAAATCATAGTCGATCTTAAACAGATTACATCCCTAAAATAATCTGAACTGTTACAATCCATTGAGAGAGAGAGAGAGAGAGAGAGAGAAATGGGGTTTAACGTCCACTGACACAAACTAGGTCATTTCGGGACTAAAATATGGTTCAATTTTATTTCCATAATTCGCTTGCGCGTAGGGGTCTTTAGCAGTGGGAGGAAACCGGAGGACCCGGAGAAAACCCACAAGGTTGGACAGGCGACCCTACTCCTTGTCACGTACAACATACTCAATGACAGACTTTATGACACAACGCGACAATCCATTGAAAGTCATGTAATGTACATCAAGACAACATTATAGTTCCGCCAGTGATGGTTAATGAACGAATGCAATGTGTAACATATTATTTTTCGGCACCATACAGGAATCATTTAAGACAGGCAATATGAGAATTTACCAAATTAAATCTATCCTAATTCACTGATAAGTGATATTCAATTTCTTGGCTGGAAAAAACAACCTCTAACATGAGTAAAACTAAAAAAATCTTTTTCATGAACAATTAATGATGAAATAAAATAGATACCGGGCCGGTATTATTAATATTATGGATAATAAATGGGACGAAATTTTTCCCTTTATTTATTTTGGGTACCGGTAGTTATTAATTTTACTTAAACTTCTTATAGTTTTAATATCTCTTTAAAAAAAAACAACCCCCAAATTAAAATATATATAAAGTTAGTAAAGAGTGATGAGACTCGAGACTTGACAGGGTTTGTAATTCAAGTGTATTGTTAAATTGTAGCCAGAGTAATCCATAACAGAAGAAAATCTCACGTGTACCTTAAAGGCGTATGCTTCAAATCCAGCTTTCTCAAGAAGACTGTGTACACTGTTCTGGATGTCTTCCATTCTAAAAGAATATTTTACGACGTTATTATTGTAATATTTTTACCATGTGTTATTACTTTTTAGAGGATAGTTGAAGGTCAAGGCCGACTTGACTTTTTTGGAGTTATGTCCCTTGTAGTGAAACCCCCCAAAAAGGGCACCTGTTGATAAAGTCGCTTGACAGCTGTGATTTTTAGGGAAGAGTTTTTGATTCTGCATTATGATATGATGTCAAAATATCTCTCCCAGAAGACCGTTGATGATGACATTACATGCCAGTCTGAACAAAAAGTCGATTTGTAGATCCTGTTTTGGATCATTTTGTATTATTTAGTTCAGGCTTTATACTTTATAAACTACCGGTACTTAACTAGAAGTGTGCAATAAGGAATCTGGTGTGCCCGGGTCAGGGTGGTGGTTACTGTAAGTGGTGAGTATTAAAGTGAGCGTCATCGGATTGGACTATGTGTCATAGAGCCCGTTATATAATGGGCTAGATGCACAAAATTGTTCAAAAATTGGAATCACCATGAATTTGTTTATTTGTACCACATATAATATATATAATTGGGTACTTCAGCACTCGAAATTGGAACCAAAATTCAGATGATGGATTGCACATTCATTACAGATTTTTGGCATGACATCCCACTAGACTACATGTCAATTGAGGATTGGGAGCCTAAATTTTTTAGCTGCAATTTAATCACAATATATGTCACAATTTAATCTTATTTAAATTGATTCAGTACAATTTTGTCACTGCAGTTCGCGTATGATTCAATACTCATGTCCAGAATGTTAGATTCTCATTTTTGTTTCCAATCACATAGGTCTCCAACAGGCCCGTAGAAAAAGGGGGGGGGGCAATGCCCCCCAGAAAAAATGTTTTGTCCCCCGAAAAAAAAAGTTGCCGACCATAGCTCTATACTAACTGCTGTGCCCCCCCCCCCCTCCGCAGCCAGCAAGCTGGCTACTGGCCTGGCCTCCAACCTATCACAATTTAAAGTTGTCTGACATTTCTTGCACTTTCTGACTCGTGAAAACTAATTTGAGAAGAGTTCTAGGGGCCATGACATCTCTGTCTTCTATTTTGAGTGAAAATTTGTTTTGAAAATATTTTGAATATGTTCAAAATGGCAACAACATGAGAGCATTGCCCTGCAACTCACACGAGGAAATTGAGAAACCATACAAACATTTAGAGGTATTTTGGAAACTTACCTGTGAATGCTGTTCATAACGTTTCGTGAACATTCACAACCCAGTGAGATACTAGCTTTAATGATATGGGTGTCTTGTTTTTCTGGCTTCTATACCTTTTCATTTTAACATTTTATTGGCTAATTAGCCGTTAGTACTTCCTGTCTGCTGTCAGTAGCAGTCCAAGGGGCCAAAGCAGCATAAATTACAATAATAAAGATAAAGACAAACCAGTATAGTATTTCAATGATGAGATCAAAAGGAATGGAATTCTGAAGTACTGTAATAATACAAAATAAAAAGCTACCATCACTGTGTTTCATGGAGGTTAATCACTCCTGTTTCTGTAATTGCTCCTTTTTTCCAATTCCTCAGGATTTTCAAGCACAGTTTTATCTTGTCAGTAGTGCAATCATGAGCATTTTCTGGTTAGGTTAAACAAACAGAAATAAGCAATTTGATTGCTCATTGCTTTACATACAGATAAATGTATATTAAATATAAATATGTGTCATCTATGTATTTTGGGATTGAGGTAGCAGTGGACAACCAGTTCTATAAATTAATCTATTATGGATCATGTTTGAAGCAAAAGGTTGAATTAATGTAATCAATATAATTACAAATAATCACACAACAATACAGTCTAAAGGATACAACAACAAGCCAAATCCTTATGGATATCACTTCCTGGTTGAATTAAATAGAAACATGTAATAAAAGTAAAAGTTTTTCTATTTATGTTTCAAACATTAGAACTCTTGTTGTGCTTTCAAAGCTAGACGTCAGTCAGTATTTCCTTATTGCAAAAAAAATGACTTCCCTATATAGTTTGATAGGGGGTCACAATTGTCGAGTTTTAGGGCACTGATCTCACAGCTATGATATCTCTTGTTCGAAACCCAACGCGGCCTGCGAAGACTTTCTGGATTTCTCAAACATAATCTCATTTGTAGGACTGACTAGGAAAGTGCCTCTAATTTTGGGGAATGGTTCGAAAGAAAAAAAATATCCACGGATATTTTGAATTCCAATGTGGGCTGAGAAGAACCCACAGGATTTTTCAAATCAATTCCCAGGGTTGACAATGATATTTTCCCTAGTCCTTCTGAATGGTACAGAAAGAAACGAGATCCACCCATGTAACACCTTTGGTTGAGAAGACTCTTCGGTATATTTTAAATATCTTAAAAACATAATGACTGTAAGTTTTGATGTGGTAAAAGAAACATGTTTGATCATTGAATAATGTAAAGATGATATTCATTTTTTTATGCACACATTGAAATGGGTCGTATATTGTCGTCGACGCGTCTGGCAGTCTGGCATCCATAATTCTTTGTGGACGCTCTAGAGGCTAAAGTTAATATCCGATTGACTTTAAATTTATACATAGTGTTTAAGGTCATGATACGATTTCCGATAATTATGGCTCTGGATTACTTTAAAAAATCTTGTGGATGCTCTAGAGGGTAAAGTTAATATTCGATTAACATTAAATTTATACACAGTGTTTAAGGTCATGAGACCAAGATGTCTATTGATTTTCAACGATTACTGCTAGAGTTTTGGCCCTTGATCAGTTTGAAATATCTGGTGGACGCCCTGAAGGTCAAAGTTAATATCCGATTGACTTTAAATTTATACAGTTTTTAAGGTCACGAGACAAAGGATCCTAGTCATTTTTAGAGATGTCCAATAATCACTGCCAGAGTTGTGGCCTTTGATCACTTTGAAAAATCTTGTTAACGGTCTACAGGCTAAAGTTAATATCTGATTGACTTTAAATTTATACACAGTGTTTAAGGTCATGAGACGAAGAAGCCTATTGATTTACAACTATTTTTGATAATTACTGCCAGAATTGTGGGCCTTTACCTCTTTGAAAAATCTTTAGAACCTCTAAAAATTAAAGTTAATATCCGATTGACTTTAGATTTATACACAGTGTTTAAGGTCATGAGCCAAAAAATTTTAGTCATATTCAACGAATTCCGATAATTACTGCTAGAGTTATGGACCTTGATCTCTTTGAAATATCTTGGGGACATTCTAGAGACTAAAGTTAATATCCGATTGACTTTGAATTTATACACACCGTTTAATGGCAACCTCTTGCGTCTGGTTATTCCAGTCTACACCTATGGTATTTATTATGCATTCTCTCCAGATAAGAATATGATGTCACCATTTGACATGACTTTTGGAATATATCTAGCCTCGTTCTTCGAGTCCCTTGTTACAAATGGCACTAAAATGCAATATGGTACCGTACACGATTCGTGTACCAATGGTAAAATGTCAATTTTGTCTTAAATATTGAATATCAGAAGCCCATCTTTTCCCGGTAAGATCCCAACATCAATGTTGATTTAAATTTAGAAATAATTTGTGTTTTCAATGTCGAAGACTTTGGATGCTATTGAGTTAGAGACTTTAGCTACTTTAAGGTCATGAGACGAAGAATCCTATTGATTTTCAACTATTTCTGATAATTTCTGTTGGAGTTATTGCACATGACGAGTTATAACTCGTAATCAGATTTTCATGTGTTGTAAAAGTTTGCATTACTGACAAAAGAAAAAATATGCGACGACCCTTGTTGACTGCCCGGACGACTTACCTGCTGTGGGCATATGTTTCGTTGCCTGGCAATCCATCTTTACAGTATTTATAACACAGGTATACAATTTGTTGTTTGTGACATGCATCAAATTTGCATTTCTAGAATTCTTGCTTTTGATCTTCATCTACAGAGCACAATAGGCATTTTATTTATCCCTAGTTTGTTAAATATAAAAAAAAAGTAAGATGCAAAACTTAGACCTCCTCCTGAGTCAATATTATCTTTTTATTGTTTAATGTTGCAAAAAGTTGTTTTTCTGATAATAATATATGATAAAAAGTCTTCTTTAACACTGCCTGATGTTTATATTTAGTTGTGTGTAGGTTTTAGTTTATTCAAAGCCCACACAACAGATCTGTTAGATGATATATAAGCTTAAAAGTTTTACTTTTTATGATGGTTTCAGCCAAAAATTCAAGTAATTTAAAATACACACTTATAAATATAGTATGTAGGTTTTGCTTTCGATGCTAACTGAATGCAATAGTTCGTAACTGCCAAAAATTCAAGTAATTTAAAATACACACTGATGAATATAGTATGTAGGTTTTGCTTTTGATGCTAACTGAATGCAATAGTTAGTAACTGCTAAACCCCGGGTGACATTTTAACCAAAGTCTGATACTTCATTGTTGAAAGTTACAGATCACACAACCTGTGGCCATTGGCATCATTAATCTCTGGCTTGAGATTGTGGCAGCTTTTGATACCTGGAGTTGCACATTACGCTTATTGATGTGTCAAAAGGAGATAATAACTCATTTCAATCTAGGTCATTTCAATAATTTGCTTGTGAGGAGGGGTCTTTGATTTGATTTTAATTTGCAAATAGTTAGTAAAACGAATGTTTTGACTTGAGGTTGAGAGTATTTAGATAGGCCTATTACAGCTTGGCTTTCCATCAGGCCTTCCCAGGAGTTGCTCATGTTGGCTTGATGTAATAGGACCTGGAATGTGCATCTTATTGGCCATTTCATAATCTTGGTCAAGGGTTTGATCAGTATCTTTCACCTGTTTTAAAGTGTTTGAACAACTAAAAACCATTAGATTATAGCTTTTTTAATGAAATTAAAAATGATACAGTGTGTTGGTTTTCAGCAGATTCGATGTGTAGATAATCCACCTCTGACCATTTCAACATTTTGACGTTTTTTTTTTAACTTTTATTTACATACATACATACAGTAAGTGTTTCCTATAGTCTTAGTTAAAGTCAGTGACTATGAGTTCTTTTGACAGGAAGCCATGAGCAATAAGGGTAGAAACTAGGTGGTATAAGTGGTATGTCATTATGCTTTGACATTCAAAGAAATACTAGAGGTGAAAAAAAACATGATACACTATCAAAATATAATTGGATACATTATAGTTTATTTCCTTGCATATTAAAGGCCTACTATAGGCACATGTTTGAAAGCAGTGGGACCCATGGCGGCTCAGTTAATAAGGTGCTGGCTTTTCTAACCTGGGGGGCCCATGTTTCATCACAGTGTTGGCCAAGAAAGGTCATCAGATTTTTCCAGTATGGCTTCCCTTTTCATTGGTGCAGGACGGAGGACCTTGGAAGGAACAGAATCTAGTCATTTGGGTGGGATGAAAAA